GGGGGGGGGGGCAGCTGTAGCGGCGCAGCTGTAGCTGCAGGAGTAGAAGACTTGTGCACCCCTGATCTTTATACTGTATTTTAGGCTTGTCCTGATCCGATATTTGGATCGTATCGGCCGGCATGAGAAAATGCCAGATACATTTATTTTTAAAAGTCCGATCCCACCCGAGCATTAGCATTAGCATCTGTAACCCACAGGTCTGTGTAAACTTTAGTTGTTATAAGAGTAAATCCCTGTTCAACATAAGTCTGTCAACTAAGTAAGTAGAAAAAAAAAATTTAATTTTAATACAAAAAGCTGGATCGGGACATCCCTACTGTATTTCTACATAATAAGATGATTTCTATAACCATAAAATAGTTATTGAGGGGTGAATTGATTCAGACGGAGCACTACTGAAGGCCTAGGGGTGAAATGCACGGTCCGCCACTGATATATACTGTATATATTGTAACCCTTTAAAAAGCAGAAATATTTAAAAGACGACATGCATTTCCGACAGTATGAAAATGACAAAACTACAAATCTTCAGTGAAATTTTCAGTGAAAAAACTGTCAGGGGGAACAGTCTTGGTCACTCTGGAATGGACCTCACCTCCAACACCATTGACCATTGGAGGTCTCTCCTCCTCCTCTTCCTCCTCAGGAGCAGCGCTGTCCTTTCTGTCCATCTTACTGACCGAGGTGGTCCTCTTACGCTGGACCTCGGTGTCAAACTCCTCATCGAACAGAACCTGGTCTACCAGGTCCGGCTGCACGGGGCTGGGCTCAGCGGGGGGTTTAGGGGTCCCGTAGTAGTTACCTGGAATCAGCAGATATGGAGAATATACACTTATTAATACGGTTCAGCCATTTGATGAGGGGAGCCTCTCTTTAAATAATTTCTTCCCTTAACAAAACAGAACGGAACCGAGATTAAACTTCACTTTGTCCACACCAGACGAAGAGGAACCCGCCATTAGCTGGGAGTTCAGCCCTCAGCAACAAATCTTATCTGTCAGAGCTGCAATGGATGGAGGAAAATGAGGCCAAGGTTGCTGCGGTCATAACTCCCACAATTTGGAACAATATTCTGGTTAAGAGGGAAATACTGTGGAGACTGAGACTTTGTCCCATTTCCTCAATCAGGCCAACTAGACGGCCAAGTAGAGGGAACTTATGACAAAACGCATGCAATTCGCAAGCTGGTTTATTATCTGTGAGAAGAAAAAGAAGAAAAAAAAGGATTTCCCAATTGAAGCCCCATTCAACTGTTTTGAGGGTTTTTAGTCACAACGGAAGAAGCGGGGTCTGACCTATTTTACCCCTCTCACCAGCTCATCTCGATGTGTAGGGGGATAAGACGATGAAAAGTTAGAAGGAGGTGAGGTGACTGGAGCGAATGGAAGACCCGAGCGCCATGCGCCGGTCGCTGTCCAGCTCTGAAAACACACAGCCCCTCGGGGGTTTGCACCAAGCTGCTGCATGTTTAAGGGCTTAACACTGGCTTGTAACTGTAAAATGCCACACTGGGGACTGGAAAGATACTTTGAGGGAGCGCAAAAGGTGAAAAGGGACATGTTTTTACAGAGAGAAATGAGAAAAGAATAGAATAGAGATTCAAAACAAGACAAAACAGGAAGTTATCTTCCCTTTGTCACATCTTCATTTATCTAAATAAGCCCCCAAAAAATGTAAGCAACCATGAAATGTGACCATTGAACATGGCAAACAAGACAAAGTCTAAAACTTCCCATGGCTTTACACCACTATCGAGTAACGCGTTTCCAGGTATAATTTCAGGATCGGGTAATTAACAGGGAGCCTAATGACCGCCGGGGATAAGGGAGTTGCAGCAGAAGCGTCTGTGGCATTTATGGGCTCCCATTGGCGGCGAGCTGGGAGACGGACACGCGTTTTTCCGCACACCGTGATGGCGAGCCGCTTTGTGAACGGCAGCCTTTTGAAAAAAACGCGCAACCTCTTCCCAAACTGCGCAATTGAGCGCACAAACAAACGAGCAGTCCAAAGACCGGGATGGCCGTCCACATAATGGAGCCATTGTGATGTCTTTTTTTTTGTTTTTTAAAGGAGTTATTGTTTTGGAGGCTCATTCATAACCTGTCTCCCTGTGCACCGGTGCGTTTCACTCTGACAGACGGCTGGAATCCCAGGATAGCTCCAATTCTGCTCCATCACTTATACGGGAGGGTAGTATTTTAAAATCGCACTCAGTTCAACCTAAATTGCTAAATCTATTCATATTCATGCATGCAGGACACGGTTTTCTTGTCTCGTGTCTATTTTAGACGCGTATGCTGATATTCTGCAAAACCCCCCAAAAAAAGAAAATAGAAAAAAGAAGGGCATGAAGAGAGGGGAAAAAAAAACAACCAACCTGGAATCAATAACTCGGGACTATATTTACTTATAGGGGAAATGCAGGATTTTCACCAACCTGCATTTTCAATGAGCCTGACTGATTTCTTGATGTTGAATCTACTTTACTTTAAATGTGCCACATATTGTACACCGTTTCCCCTTTTTTGTGTTCTTACTTTTCTTAGTCAGCACTGTTGACTAAAACAAAAATCGAGTTTAAAAAATGGGAATTTTCATAATGTATCATATCACAAACTTCCCTACCTCTTAATTAGTAATTGTTTTATTCTAGGAAAAAAACAAACAGAAGGTGAAGTGGGGCAGGTCAGACAAGGTTAACCCTGAAATAGCGAATGTGTCGTATTTGATACAAACAGTTTTTAAAATCTTTTTCATCTTAGACCTTTTGCATCCTTTTATGGTAAAAACTTAGCTCAAAACCCTGTTGTGTAAAGCCTGGGAGCAGACAACTACACGACAATAATCCTGACTTATCGCACTGTTAAACATACAAAAATTCTCTGTTATTATTGTTATTTTCTGTTTTGTTAAAGGGCAAAATAAAGAATTAAAACTAAAAAGATTAATTATCAAAGATTACATGTATTGTGAACAGTGTTTGGACCGAATATCAATTCAAAATGAATGAAAATGACATGCTGCCAAATATGTCGTCATAGTTATACAAACTCTAGTTTAAAAATAGATTATAAAGGGATTTTTATGACCCCGTCAGTCATAAAAGTTGATTGCAACCTCTGGTCACAATGTGACCTGATGGCCTTGGGATTAGATAAGACCACCAGCTGCCTGGTTTTCAGGAGGAAAAAAAAAGATAGAAATTGCCCACCAATCTGTTTATTGCCCCAAACCGCTCTTCATTTCTATATTTACCACCTGAACACGCGGCGTTACGGGCAGTACCGTGTTGAATATCAAACCGGTTTCTACAACTGCGACGCCTTCACTAATCAAAAACAAACACATGCAATAATTGAAACACGGAGAGACAAATAGAACGCACATTATCGCAAACGCGCGGAACGGAAAACATCATTATCGCGGCGAGGCCTCCAAACACCTGCCCTCTACGTTCAACCCGGCTCACACCGGCCAGCTAATAAGGTGAAAAAAGCTCCCGCCTGCCTCTCTGTGACGAGCAAAACAGAATGAACGGAATTAGAGAGAAAACTCCCCGTTTCAGTCGTCACAAAAAGAGTAATCTGAGATTTTTGAAAAAATCTTTTAAAAAACATGCCAATGAGGATGTGCAGTAGCCAGTGATTTTGGGAAAAATTCACTGCCTCATTAAGAGCATCATATTCTCTTCACGATAACACGGCGGCCGGATTAAAACACAGATCTCACCTGTTCTTGACATATTTCTGCCTCATTAACAAATGTCTAGTGTCTCATTATGGAAGACAAAGGCCCCCCGGTGCTGGCCAATTAGTCCCCTTTCGACGGTTCTGCTCAACCTTCGGCAACCCGGAAGACCAGAGCGAACATTTTAAAACCTCGGGTTTCAGTTTCTGCCTCAAATGAATGGTGCGCTCATTTTTAATTTTTTAATTTTTGGAGGCGACAAGCGGGCAATAAAAAAAAGTGGGCTGTGACAGTGACCATGTGGGCCTGACCAAAATAGACACTTGTTGATCCAGTCGCTGACTCACTCGCTTCCACATGCTGTTTTCTGACACAGTGCGAATAGCGAGCATCGAAATAAGAGCAAATATTACCAGGCAGATGGCCGCATCCATCCAAGCCTCCCGATTCGGCTGACCGATAAAGTACAAGTAGACCAAATGTTGATTGGTGGTAAATTAGAGCACCGTGCAGGTTATTGCAGAAAGCACATGAGGTTTACCTAATTTTTTTAATCCATTGTATCTTTTTCTTTATCTATAACCCCAATTTAAGTCTGCGATATTGTTATATTGCTATTTTATGGCAGGCCTCTGATACCAAAGGGGTTGAAGAGTTTAAAAGTGGGAAAAGTTATCTGGCTCTGCTGGCACTAAGAGGCATTTTCAGCTCGGGGAGAGCTGCTTTTTTCTTATTTTATTCCTCCACGTTTTGAAGCTTTAGACTTGCCTCCCGTCGAAACGCCGCCGGGGGGTCCCCGGAGAGACGGCGAGCTGAAATCTGCGCGGCGGGGGCTTTCGTGTCCATCGGTGGGAAAAGAATGTGTTTATACAGTGTGTCCGTGCGAGGGGGGGGACGTCACGCCATCTGTTTTGGTCAACAGCTGCCAGCATGCCTCATCTCTGGCCGGTGGGAGCGGGTGGAAAAGAAAAAACGGCGAGTTATGGCCGTTTCCTGGTGAGAAATGCCAGCTAGTGGTTTTTGAAAGTGAGGAAAGCTTGTGGCATCCGATGATGACCTTCCACCTTCATCCCCATCAGCCCTGGCACAGAGCACCAGCCCTTGCTTGGCGCGGATGCTCGGGCTTGAAAATTCCACATTCCTCTACTCTCTTTGTGTGTCTGTTTTCCAATGAGCTTCTCTTACAGTTGAAGTTCATTTTCTCTGTCTTCGCCGTGACACCCGAAATAAATCTCCAACGGCTCTCATTGTTGTTTTTCCTTTCTCTCATCCGTCGTAATCCCTCCTCTTGTTAGTCCTCAAACTCTTTGCTCTTCCACACTCTGTTTTTCAGCCATTATTCTTTGTTTTCTTCAGCTGTCTGCGCAGTAAGTACTATAATCCAAGCCCTATTCTGTCAGTTGTGTCTTTTTTTTATTAATGTTCCAAACCTCTGTTTAGTCAAAAAGGCAGCTGGTGCCTGGGCTCCATATTTTTACACGTCTTTTTAAAAAAAAAAGAATTATTTTTTACCCGAGTTTTTGAAAAACGATTCGCTCAACCGGTAAAACATGACCGTTAACACAATCTCATATCTTTCAGCATAATGGTAATAAATCAGCTCCCGGTGCTGAATTGAGGTTTCAACACCTGCCTCTCTCTCTCTGTGACTTTTGCTCATCTGTTTCAGCTCCCCGTCTCTGCCATGAATGATTCATGGCCCCGGCTCTCCTGCACCAGCCACGGTGAGGGGCAGGGAATTGGATATGCCCCAATTCACATACATGCGCGCACGCATATCCGATTCTGGAGCGTTTCGGCGTGAGCGGAACGCCCGGTGAAACGGCCAGAGCTTCAGCGGTGTGGCTCCATGACCGGTCATTCCAGTCTCACATGAAGCAACTGTCCAGTGAGTGGAGGCCAAGTTGGAGACCCATGCTTCTAATGAACATAATCTAAAATACATTAGGTTGGAAGGATGTGTAGTTTGAATTTCTCCCATGACAACATTTCTGCTAGGATTTATTGGTGGACCCGAGAGCTTGAGTGTTGAAAATCCACCCATAATCTTCCAGGCCCGGTTGGAGAGGCAGCTTGTCTGGGGGACATCCCTGACGGGACCAGAACACGACCTAGCAAAGGACGCATCTGCGATCAGGCTCCTTTTCGGTCTGTACCGAAGGTGAGATGGACCAGAAAAACCAAGAGCTTTGCCCGACTGCTCAGCTCAACTTTTGACCAAAAGGGACCTGGAGCAGCGTCCGGTGGAAACCATCTCTCACTCCAACCTCCCACCACTTCTGAGTGAGATTCCACAAGACTCAGGCATCTGTTTAATTGTTAATCAGTTTAACTGAAATGATAAGCACTTGTCCACGGTTTCAAACACTGAACTGCAGTTATAATGGATTCAGTTGTGTGCGTGTGTGTATATATATATATATGTAAATATATATGTTTCATTTTGAGACTCATATTAGAGATGAAAGGAACAATTGGCCTAATGAGCGGAAAACACAGTGTATTGCACAATGCACTGTGGCTCCTAAAGAGTTGAGGGCGTTAGAGTTGGAATATATCTCAAAGTAAATTAAATGATTTTTCTATCTTTTTTAACTAGTTTGTCTTTTTAATCTTGTCTATAATCATTATTACTATTAGTTGTAGTAGTATTTTTTCCTTTTAATTTACACATACTTCTCAGTTGTACTTTTACGCTCATTTCAATGAGACTATGGTGGTCTGATAGTTATATTCTGTCATAAAATAGAGAGAACAACATAAAACACATTTCTAAAATTCATAGTTTCTGTCTTAACAGGTTGATTTACACTAGAAAATCTTGCCCAGAGTGTCCACAGGTCTGCGTTTTCCTCTGACCAGTTGCTGAACAGTGTATTTGTATAGAGTCAAGGGTTCACAGGACTGGGCATTAATTATTAACTTTGTGGGGGGTTCTGGATCTGTGGCTTTAGCAAATGTATGGATGTTTTTATGTTGGGCTGAAAAAGGATGCGGCGGATGCATTATTCATCCTGATGACTGGTTCATGGACTCGGGGGGTGAAAGCCGAGTCTCTTGGGGCCACGTGTGGGAGAGAGGTGTAGCTTTAACACACTCAGTGCATTTCCAACAGATTTGTGCTGGGTGACTGAGGTCAAGACCCTTTAAAGTACCAGGGGACGCATTATCTCCGCTTCTCTCCGATTGCAACAAGGGATTGATGACATGAGCAATGTGCTGATTTGGCTTGATGACCTAATAGTGCCCAGCTCAGCAAATTTACAAGAGCACTATTATCGAGCAGCCATGGTCTCGGGGTTGAAATGGGACGGTGAACGATGGCAAAGACATCGTTTTCTGGTCACTCGTCGCTCACTGGGGTGCAGTTTCTCCCTTATAGGTTTCACAGCTTTGGTCCAGTGCATTACATCACAGGTTTTTGCCCTTATAACAAGCCCGTTTAGAGCATTTCCTGCCCTTCCAGGTTAGGATTACGTCTTTTTGATTTCTTTTTGACTGGTGCAAAGGCAACAAACTCTGTATGGAAGCAGACAGGCGCCACCTGAAAAGGTTTGGCTGTAAAAGTAATACACGTTCAGTATCATTGAAAATATCTGCTCATCCAAATATTTTTCCATCGATTCCTGCAAATATATCCTTGGCATAACCATGGTAGTAAACAGTAAATGTTTGATTTTTGTGACTTAGAGCCAAAGCTTAACTTTTTTTTTAATTAACCAAAAGAAACACTGAAAATAAGGACATTCAGACGTACTTCAAAGAATGCTTGCTGTCAGAAATTTCTGTGAACCTTTAACTGAATACATCTGTGAATCTTTAAGGGGAAAAAAGTCCCTCACAGCCTGGTGACTCACCAAGTTTTAAACTTTATAGATTCAAAGTTTCAGATTCCTTGGCTGAGTGTGAACTATTTTTGACATACAAATAGAAATAACAAGATCTTTATCTGCTGGCTTTAAAAAAAACAAAGTGGTGAACATACAGGATGTATTTCGATGTTGTCATCCTGCAGAAAGATAAAGTAAAACAACCTGTTCTACCGATACTGCTGCTGCCATATCCAGGAGACAGACCATGCAAAGCGTTGACAAACGCGTCCTCCTCTGATGGCTGTGAGGGCGCGATGGGCGTGAGCACTTTATCTGTCCCTAACGTGAAGTGAGGCGCCTCCGAATCCTACCTGACAACACATAAAATGCTGAACGGGAAGTCGTTGTCGCAAATGAGGTGGACTGGACGGCTCATTTGAAAAGGACAGATGGAGAATGTTTACACTGCATCCCACCCGGGCAAAAAAAAAAAAAAAAGGTGTGGAACAAGCTCATCTATTGGGTTAAATGTTCTCTGAACCAAAACTGAAAATAAATAAATAAATAAATCTGAGTTCATGTAGGTATCACTACTACTAATAATAAATGACAAGATTAAAAAGAGAAACCAGTTAAAAAAGATAGAAAAATCATTGAAATATTCCAACTAACGGCCTCAACTCTTTAGGAGCCACAGGAAAACTTTTTCTTATTATGTCTGAGAATGGGATCCCTAATTGTAGCTTTCTTTTCAATGTTTTAGTAGGGTCAATGTTTACTGATAATACATATCTGTATTTGACTAACTCTTTTTTTTAAACTAATGATAACTCGTATACAGTGCTCTACTGAAAAGCACCCCCCTGTCCTGGGGGGCGGATGGGATCGTACCGTCGTACGTGCCGCTCTCCAGCAGAAGGCCGCTCTCCTCCAGCTCCCGGAACTCGCCCACAGTGATGAAATTGTAGTCCACTCCGGGTACTTCCCCGTCTCTGGGCTGCCGAGTGGTACCTGTCGACAGACGCAGAGTCAAACACAACGTAAGGAGGTGGAACCTAAACAAACGGCACGTTCCGTTAGCTGCAAAAGCGGAGGGGAAGTGGCACCAACAGGCCCACCGGGACCCCGTCCCGGCCCAAACGCAGCACCCGGGGAGGGGTATGTGTCTAGATCATGAATAATCAACGGCGCTGGGACTCGCAAAGCCAACAATTCATTATTCAAACATGAATCAGAGGGGGGGAAAAAAGAAAATCGCCTCCACGCAGCACCACAGCCATCAGAACACAAAGAAAGTGTAATTGACGATAATGAAGGAGATCCTAATCGCACAGGCGGCGTGTACAGAACAGCGCGAGCACGGCTCCACCAGGACACAGAATACGACACCCAGGGGGGGGAAAGAAAGGACGAAATGAAAAGCCATCGAGGTCTGAACATTTGTTTGATCGGATCATCAAAAGGCCTCAATTCTCTTCTTTATCGGCCGGGTCAGAGTCGGTCTTCTATTAGATGATGCCGTCTAAGCTAATGGTTAGCTTTCTGATTTTGCCTGGAACATTTTTGTGGTAGAGTTTGGTTTAGTTTTTTTTGTTTTGCCGTTGTACTTCAAACATAGGTAGAGGTCTGGACTTTCACTGGACCATCTCAGTTATTTTGGGATCGTTGTCAGGTTGTACGATCCGGTTATTAGCTCGTTTCGGCTTAAAGACCCAAATCACCCTGCTATTTCCCCTACAGTAAAGGAGAACTTAGCGTTCTTGATGAGTGGTTCTGTGCTTTTTGGGTCGTTTCCGAGTGTTGCACATCTCCGTCATTTTTCTAAGACCACAAAGTTAATTCCTATCGTGTGAAAGGAATCAACCGTGGTGCACTTTCTCTTTTTCTCACGACTTTATGTGGTAGCACTGAATGTGTGAGATTCTTAGGGCAGTCAGAGGAAAATGACTTGGGCTGACCTTCGGCAGCTCCGGCTGAATAACAGCAATATTTGAATATCTGCGCCAAGAAACGGACAATGTGGCTTCCATGGCAACGTGTCATCATTTGTGGATTAACTATAACTGTAATACGGTGACTCGTTCACATTATGACTAAATTGAAATTCTTTTTTTCCCATGTTGGACCTTCTCTGAAAGCTCCCTGCAGGCTGAGATCGGACTCTTTCAGTATAATCCAACAAATGACCCAAAAGTCCAGTAAAAAAATCGAATCGCCTGTCCTCCAGTGCTTATTTTTGCTTATCATCATCAAGCCAAAGCTCATACTCCATCAAAGACAACTCTGTAAAACCCCCTGCTTCTAGTGATGGTCGAGGTCAGTTTTTTTTCTGGGAAAAAAACAAAAACAAAAAAGTGCTCCCATTCTTTTTTTCCGCCTTTTTCGCGTTTCCTTTCAAAACGAGCTCTGCCGTGACATCGCCGGGGCTCCAGAGAGCACTCTGTGCGTGAAACTCCCGGAGAGTTGAGACAGCAAAGTGCTCATTTTGCTGCTGCTGCGATAGGGGGGGAAGTTTCATGCCCGGCTGTGTTGATGCTTTCGGTCGTCCAACAACTGGATACTCATCGCTCTGCGAGTGATTTCATGCTCCCTGACACGCCAGCTCCGGTTACCGTCACCCTTAGATGTAATCCTGGCTTTTTTACAGCACTTTTGCTACACCGTCTTTCTCCACTACCAGGCATCGGGGGAGGGGCGGGGGGGGGCTCCAACAGGGACCTGTCCCCGTTCTTCATTTTCCTCCTCTTGTCAACATCCATCCCCGCTGCAGAGTGAGCCGTCACATCTGAAACCGCTTAGTCTGTTGCAAAAACAATCTCTCATTCTGTCAAACAGAGTAATCAGAGGAGAGCGGGGTGGGGGGGGGGATTGGGGGGGGGAAACCGCAGGGGAAGACACATAAGCTTGTTTTGGGACCTAAGAACGGGTGAGTTTCTTAGTTTCTTCAGCCTGACGGATGGAGTACAAGTTGTGTTTTCCTCAGTAAGTGGCTAAGACATGATTGGATCTCAGGAAAACAATTAAAGAAATTCTAAAGAAATAATAAGAAGAGGAAGCCGAGCCAGCAGGCATTGGTTGTTTTCCAGACGGCTGCTTTAAAAATGCCCACTCTTACTCCCCAGACTCCAACAGCTGTGAGGGGGGGGAACTGTACTTTCGCAGTTATCGAGAGAGAGAAAAGGTGAGAGACGGCTAAACGTGTTGAAACTGGAGATCTGTAATCTGAGTGGGAACACCACATAAAGGAAAAGAAAGACGTGTTTTAATTCTCTCTGGGAAACAAGATTCTGTTTCGGTATTTTGAATTGTTGAGTCGCGGCGGTGAGATCTGGGACAAAGAATGCGTCCGAGTTCAAAGGTTTCGAGTATCAGGACGCTCAGATTCAAAAGAAAAATGACAAAAAAGGTGTTAAATTAAGGTAGACAGCCTGGGGTGAGTCTCAGTGTACACACTACTGCGATCAGAGTCATTTTCAGATGTTGTAAAGAAAACAACCAGCACTCGTAACACAACTAAAGGTGGAGATTTGTTTAGTTTTTTTCAAACAATATCTTCTGTTTATAGTCAAATTAAGACACCAATGTGCAAAACATATGTGCCTGTTGAGGTGACTTAGAATTTCCGGGTAAGCTGGTTAACTTTTCTCATCAATCGTTCGACTTGATGCCGTGGGATTCGGTTCAATTCGATTCACGATGTCAGTCAAAGCGCTTCAACGCGGTAAACAGAATTCACAAGCTGGTTTCTAGTTATTTTGTCCTTTCTCTTTTCCTGTAGTTTACAAGCATACAAGCTTTTAATCTTAAACATATATCTTATACACGTTTTCCATAAAGCAAACCAATAAAATGCACTTTATTTTAGTACAGACAGCATTATTTTTTCCACTATAAACACTAGATTATCAACAATTCTAAAGTAGAGGGAAAAAAAAGGCAGAGAATTAATGACTTTAGGGAAACAACTGTTGCTGCCTGCTAATCTAAGAGGCCTTAGGAGGCCGTTTCCCAGTGTCTGATAATCCTACATCGAAAAAAGAAGCCGACAGTCCTCCTGAAGTTCCCCAGCGGCACAGTTAGAGACAGGAAAAGGACCAAAATGCTGCAAGTCAACAAACAACATGACCTCTGGAACGATGCCCTTTTTTTTGGGACAGCCAGACTTCAACAGGAGATGTTTGGAAATGATACACAGCCTCAGGTTTGGAGACAACTAAACACAGACGCAGGACCGGAACACCTTGAAGTGACCGACACAACCATGAACAACTCTCATTGTAAGCCTTCTTCAGATTAATGCCAGAGAGTTGAAAACCTGGCTGAGACGGGGTCATTCAACAATTAATCCAAACACAGCAACAAGTCTATGGAACGTCGGAGAAAGAAAAAAAACAAAGTACGAATCAAGGGTCAGGAGTTGTGACCTCAGCCTGATTGACGTCCCCTGGTAGAACATTAAGATTGTGTATTAGCCGAATTCTCGCTGGACGAGGAAATGTTTTTTTTTTCTTTTTAGAAAACTGGCAAAGCCAGCCTTCCGTCCTTTCAGTTTCGGGGTCACAGCCATGGCCCAGGAGGCAGCGCCAAGTGGAGAGTCAGTGACCCGGTACCTGTTGTGTTGTCTGGACATAACAGCATCCTCGGAAAGGACACTGACCAAAGCCCTGAACTGCTCCGGTGTGTGGTTAACCGAATAAAACTGAATATACAGACGTAGGTAGAGCAGCAGTCTGATAAACCCCCCCAAAAATGTCTCATTTGTCGCAAACGATAGCCGAAAACAGACAGATTTGCTCAATCAGAGTTTACCCGCAGTGGAATATTCAGAATAACGCTATTAACATAGGCCGGGTTTGTAAACAGTTTTGCATGGATGGTGTAAATTGCTGCGGCAGGAATTCTGGAGCAGCTCCAAACTTTGCACGGAGTCCTCCAGAGGGGGATTTTTCTCCTCTGTGACAGGTGTTAGTGAACAGGGTTGGTGGGGATTGTGGCGGGGGCTTCTGAGCTGCTTCCAGTGACCGGGAGTAGCCGGTCGGGATGGTGAGCTTAAGGAAGGCGCGTTCCGCGTTGCGGAAGAAGGAAGCCGAGCCCGTCTGAGCCTTAGATTCTGTTGTGCCGCCTGTAATGAGCTCAGAGATCCTGCTTGGGGGGGGGGGGGGGGGGGGCCCAAAGGACAAAAATTAAAAAAAAAAAAAAAAAAAAGACGTTTTATAAATCAGTTTAGCAGAAAAAAAAAACACTAATTTTGTTCGGCCAGATAACATCTTGAAAGGAGACACTTTTAATTGTGTGACTTTGTGCGTTGAATGACCGATGAGTGAATGTGGAAGCTCGTAAAACCCCTTTTTGGCAGCAAAACAGGGGATATAATCCTTTTCTGTTGTGGAGGAATTTTGGCATTTTACAAGGTCAACTATAGTTGACTGAGGTTTTGGGGCTCTGGGTTTACGAATGGCTCTCTTACTGAATGGAAACACCTCAAATCTTTTCTTTTTCTGCCATTTTTCTGTAAAAAAAAAAAAAGAGCTTTTTGTCTTATCTCCAAGTCAATGCGATATACTTAAAAAAAACAACCACAACAAAGTGTCTTGTTCCTATAAACATGAGCCATATTTAGCTGTAGCACAAAACATTAGCCGTCAATGTGGGACATTTGCAATTCTATTTTTAATTTAGGCCAAAGACTTACACTGATGACAGGTTTACCTGTAGGCCTTAGAACAGTAGTTTTTTCCTGTTTAACTGCATTGTAAAAAGAAAAAAAAACTGAAAGCATGCTAAAGTTAAAGTGGAATTTTCTGCAAATGCAGAGGAAATGAATGCAAAAAACAAAAGAAGAAGGAGTGGGCAAAAAAAAGAAATACAAGTACCAGACCAGGCTCCATCTGGAGGGGTCGGAGGGCAACAAGCCGGCGCAGACAGTGGGAGGAGAACGGGGAGAATGGGGGGCCCGAGGCGGCGGGGGGGTACTCACAGGGAATGGTGCGCAGGTACAGGTTGTCCCTGATCACCTGCTGCAGCTTATGGTCCACCGAGCCCTTCTGGAACTGCAGACTGAGGTAGTGACGCAAATCAGTATTCAGCACCTTGCCTGGGGGGGAAGGAGAGAGAGAGAGAGAGAGAGGAGTCGGCATCAGTCCCACAACTCAATCACACAGGAGTTCATCTACAAGGAACTCATTTGCAAAACACCCGGCATGATTACTTCTGTTACGTTAGACAGTAATTAAGTTGTCGGGGAAACAGAGAGACGTCCCTTGGGGCTTGCAACATGGGGGGTGGGGGGGGGGGGACACACGTCCTTTGAGTACAACTCCAGCTGTGCAGAGTCCTTTTTTTAAGAGGAGACAGGTGAGATGTGCTGAAAATCACAAGCTACATTACAAACCGGGTGCGAAATTAACCTTTTTCGGCCTTTTTTTGCTTCAAACCCCCAGGAGTCATTTCCTCAGAAATCTCCAGTGCCTGCTCTTTTTTTATTCTATTTTCTTTCTTTCTGTGGTGCTCTCGGCCCGTGCGCAGATCTAAAAAGCAAGAGCGTGCCGGTGGTTTCTGTCTGCGGCTGCCAGAGCCTCCGACAGAAGCGCCGGAAACCCCGTAGATCCAGTCCGGATCGGGAAATGTTGACAAATCAAAGCTAAGCGGCAGCCAGGCAGCGGAAGATGACAGGCTCCTAACAAGAACTGCAGTAAAGCTTCAGAGGAGAGCATCTGTCTGGCCAGACTTTTTCCAGCGGGACACCCAGAAAACGCTGTTAGCACCCAAATCTGCCAATTAGGATTCCGTTATCAAATATCAGAAGGTTTGAGTCCAGCCTGTCCGGCCCAGAACATGTCCATTCTTTGCCTTTACCAGGATAAGCTGCATTTGGATGACTACTCCTCCCATCACCAAAAGATAAAAAGAACAACAAGAAACCCAACAAAAACCAGAGGGACAGAAACAACCAAAAAGTCCAAGGAGAGGGATTTAGCGATCAATGGAAAACCGACTTGTCATTGCAGATTTGACCTCCCTGGAAGATGTTGCTGGACTGAATTCACATCAGTCCCCCACTTCAGACACACTTGCAGGCACACACATAAAAAATGCAGAAATTGTCAAACAGAGAAGGAATATTTTTTTAAAAAGGCCTCGGAGCAGAGAGTGTCACCGAATAAGAAAAGAGGATCTGTGATGAGATGCTGTGGAAATGTAAAATATAAATAAATAAAATGAACACGACCAAATTTTAAATTCATCATGGGCCCTTCGGGGGATAAAATGAGTACGGCTGATGGTGATCAGCAGAGTTTGGACGATTTTTCACGGCAGGCAGTCTGATCTTGTGAAAAAGTGCAATAGCTGCGTGAGTGGGCAAAATGTGGCAGCTTCAAATGAGGGGGGATCAAACATCGTTCCTCCACACACACCATCCCACCATTCATGCCCATCGGGGAATGTCATGCAGGATTTGCCGTTTCATTCATATTTTTCTGTCATCTGTGATTTCCAGAAATTCAACCGGCCATTTTTAAGAAATGGATTTAATTTTGAACAGGTTATTACACCTATTTAAGAGAGCTGAAGTCTCTCAAATGGATTGTTTCAGGTTTAAAAAAAAATGCTGTACGTGTTTTTAATAAACCCCAACCCCCCTAAACCATTTACTTGGGCTGAGACCGTCCAGTAGCTGTAGCCTGACAGAGGTCTGAGTCAGGATGGGGACAAACTGAGGCGTTGCTCTCCATTACGCAGCTCTGTGGGGTTTTTTTAAGCGGCGCGGCGAAATGCAAGGAATTCAGGTCAAGGGAACAAAGGCTGGGTCTGACCGTGCATCACCTTGAAAGCCACAAGGCTGCGGACTGTGTGCCCGGAAGCAATGAGACATGAAAAAGCCCCCGAATTCCAACAAGAGAAGACAATGTGTTTCTCCTCTATTCTCGAAAAGAAGATGATGGGAGTTATTATTCGTGCAAAAATCCATTTTCACACGCTGTCTGCTGGAGGTGGAGGGCAGTGGTTTTTAGTATGGGAGGCAAGGGGTGAAAGCCGTTACCACAGGACTGCTGCCACCAATGGAAGAAGCCCCTGTGATGTAACACCCCCCTTCCCCGATCTCCCCTTATGTACACGCACATGCAAACCGCCTCCCTGGCCCGAAACTAAACTCCCACTCAAGTGTCTCAAACAGTGCAAGTCTTTGTGGTCTGCCTGTCAGGTTGGGTTAGCGCGCTGCGTCCTACCTCTGAGGAGGCAGAGCCAAATGGGAAGAGCGGCAGTTCCCTCACAGGTTCCCCCACAGGTTCCCAACAGACTCCCCACAGGTTCCC